CCCCTTGACTAATTTTCTGTTTAACCCTTGTGGCATCACTCCTCATCCCAACTTTTTGTTCTACCTTCTAGTACTGCATCTCCTTCTCTCAACTACACTTCATATGGCCGATCCACTTATTCACACTATTCTGTTCTTTCGTTTGACCCGATGTCGCATAAGAGTTTGTTGCTACGAGTGTGTTTAGGGAAGCGTAATGATCCTGACCTACATTCTGCCCGCCTTTTTTCCTACCAGCTTATCAATTGGCCGCTGCTGTTTGACTGCCTGAAATCTGGCTGCCTAAGAGCCTTCCATTCCCTTCCTCGATTACGCCATATGCGCGGATTTTTAGTAGATGATGCTCATGTCCATGCCAATGCACATGTCAGTGCCTGGGAATCTTCCTCTCCCTAGATTTCAAACCCATGACTCGATGATCCTCTCCCTTATCCATACTCACAATATGTTTCATTCTTTGGGACTCTGTGTCCGGGCTTAAGAAATAAACAGTGATGTGAGAATGCACCGCTTCGCTTTTTCTCTTGATTCGCGAAAACTGATGATAATCTTGACCACAGAGGATAGCAACCAACACACACATAAAGGCATCATCCCTGTACCCTATAATTAGATGGGAATGTCAAATTAAAAAACGAAAGGAGTGCACTTTTCACTTGTGTGGTTAAGCTAAAGCTAGGCTCAAGGAAATCATTACCAAACTCAACGAACTAATTAGAACCCAAACTAAGCTTAGACAATCCCTCTCTAAACTATTGAATGATGTGGATTTCATTAAGTTACAAGACGATTAACAGAAATATTTGTCGAATACATGATAAAAAAGCTCCGGAATTTAGGAATTAGAATAAGGTCGAGAAACTTTGCGTCTAAGATAAATCCTACTACCCATGACTGTAATAAAGTGGTGAAGGATAAGGTAATCAATTTATCTAGTACAATTCTGGAGGATAATATAGTACTTTTATTGGAAAGAGGATTGAAATTTGCTCTTCCAAATAAGGTGAATCATTTTCTGGAAATACTTGTTGACCTAATCAGCTTATATGATAGATTGCCTGAAGAGGTGAGGAATAGTATTGAACTGGAAGTGATCCCTCATTTTGACCATATAATACCGCCTAAGAAGGATTGTCATCTTAGTAAGATTTCTAGATATCTGTGTAATAATAATCTAATCATAACGAAAGCCGACAAAGATGGAGCAGTAGTAGTCGTGGCTAAGTCAAGTTATGTAGAAAAGATGCTAGTTCATTTAAATGACAATGGCAAGTATAGACCTTTATTGAGAGACCCAACCGAAAGACTTAAGACTTGGCTATAAGATGCCCTTAAGGTATGTGTATGTAATGATGAAATGGAAAAGTGG